TCTTATTAGAGTGAGGTCGTCTAACCAAACAAGTCAAATTTGTTAGGTTTCAAAGAACGGGTGAAAAGTAAAGAATTTTTTACCTAATTAAATTATAATGTTATACATTATAGTTTAATTAATTCAAGAAATTATTCCTCTCTCTTACTTTAGTCTCTATTTTCCTCAAGGCAAATATACTCTTAGTATTCACTTCAAACTTGAAAGGCACTTAAAATGGCTTTACCCCATAATTTCTTTGGACTACACGATAACATTAATTAATTAATATATACTCTAACTACATTAGCAATTAAATATGAAGGTATTGTTCGAATTTGGTCTTGTGGGCCAAGTGACTTTAGTCACTCTTGTAAGGTTTATATCTCTCACCCAAAAATAACAGTTCGAGTCGATTCCATGACTAAATGTTCAAAAAAAAAAAAAAGTATTGTTCTGAAGTTATAGCTGTTCACCATTAACATTAAATAATAGTGTTGTTTAGAAGTTTCTCATAGTTGTTTCTGCTTTCTAGACTTTTTCAAGGCCTCACAGCGTCTAGGTTGTTAGAGCTTGCGCAGCACATGTTTGCTTTATTGTTTTATTTCCACACATAAACTCTTATCCACTAAAATGATGCTTTCAAAAAGAGAGTTTATTCTTGGCACAAAACATTATTTTTTTAAAAAAAATTTTAAAAACAAAAAGCTACATTAAAATAAGAAATCGAGCTGCAGTGCCTGACACACTGCAGCCAAAAATTTCATCCAACTGCTTGTCGCCATTGGATCCAACATTTCTTTCTCTTTTTTTTCTTTTTAACAAAAAAATTGTTTTATTTGAATATAAAAAGTATAGATAAAATAAAATAATATTAATATAAATTTTTTTTAAAAATTTATATATTAAATAAAAATATTTTATTGAGTATTTTATTTAAAAATTAAATATATAAAAATATAATTTTATATAAAATAATATTAATTATAATAATATAGCATTAAAATAATTTTTTTTTCCGTTGTATATGCTCTTCAAAATGTATTTAGCTTCTTAATACTTACATTTGTGTTGCCAACTATTTCAGCTGTTCTAATTGTAATATACTTTTAATAGAAGTAAAGGTTATTGAGTTTAAATTATAGATACATACATAAAAAATTAAGAATTAGTAAAATATGTAAAGAGACAAAAAAATGGTATCTTTTCGTTATACAACTCTAAATAAATTTTTTTATTTAAAAAAAAAAAAAAACCCTCACAATTTGCGTTAGTTAGGACCATTAATTAATTAACTACCGAACTCTTTTTCCAAACCCATTCACAACTTTTTAATTTCCTTTTATTCACTTTTGTTTTCTCACACTTGCAGCTGGTGAATAATATAATTATATATATATTT